ATCAAATTAAAGCGGGAGGGATGTCACTGCGCACGTGCGGGAATTGAGTCCCAAGCGACGATAACAACACACGCTAAAAACGCAAAGGCTCATGTAAGCAATAACAAGCTATGGCCATCTGACGCATGTGCATGTGACGACTCCTCCGCTTTAAATACCAGTGACAATCCATGCTATAATAATTACATTATATTCTTTAAACAGTTATACCGCACCGATGTTATGTGTCAAAAGTAAACAATAAAAATGTCACCGTTTATTTTGCAGCACAATGCTTCTAGGATTTTTCTGATCTGCATTTTGTTTATCCTGTCTCACAACACGTTCGTAAACAGTACCTTCAACGTCGATTATACGGGATCCACCCTAACCGTATCCATTGGCAACATTGAGTTGATACACCATACTGAGGACTCCCCGTTTTTATACACTGGAAACGCCGAAGCCGACATCGATGAACTCCACGGCAATTTTAAAATCGATGAGTATCTGATTGAGAGAATTGCATTAACAGACTTTGTCGTCCACAGCGAAATTCCAGAATATATTGTGTCGTTTTCAAGAAACGGGGAATATGCGGTGAGTAGCGTCTTTGAGTTGGCTCCCTTTTGTTGCGTAGTAGTGGAATTTTTCATGTGCGGCCTTATGTATGGGATGATTTTAAAAGGTGGTGGTCGTCGCGTTGCACACGTGGGTGATGTAGAAGACGCCGGTCCCATGTTAACAGACGCGGCGATTTTACATTTCCAAGTTATAACTAGACAATTCATGAGATGATTGAAACGTGTCAAATACTCTTAAAAAGTCACAAAGTCGGCATTTAGTACACATTATGGCCAGATCAATCTCGCATTCATACTCGACACTGAGAAGCCCCACCCCAAACCCGCAGAGCGTGGTACGTTGTAGAAAAATCATTATTCAACAACGCAAGTTTCCACAAGCACGGTGCGACGACCACCACGCTTTAAACACAATCCGCCATCCTTCGATGTAACGTCATGGCCATCTGACGCATGCGCAGGTGACGACTCTCCCGCTTTAATGTTTTTAAATCCTTGCCCTTCTATGTAATCAGTTGAACAGTATGTAATCTGAGTCATAACTTGAGATAATAAAATATCGTGAATTTTCCTGTGCCGCGCTTGTGCAAGATTTGTGTTGATTCTATAGAAGGACTGTGATTCATTGTGTTTTCACCACAATCCAAATCCGTCAAAACTCGTAACTTCAAATTTATTATTTATTGATTTGACGTATATTGATTTCTTGTGTTTACGTATCAAATATCAATATTAGCTCCAGTCTTTCTATCCAATAATTATTACCTCTTTTACATTATTTATTGCTTTATGATTTCTATATTTCTTTAGACCAACGTCACGTTTAGCAATGAAAACAATGTTGTGAGGTTCATGCAAACACCACCAGGAATTAACCGTTACTGGGTTAGATTTGTAGCAGAAGACGATGAGCACGTCTACGGCGGAGGTGAGCAGTTCTCTTACTTTGATCTCCGTGGCAACGAATTTCCTTTGTGGACGAGAGAACAAGGAGTTGGTCGAAACAAGAGTACTATCACGACGTTCAACGCAGACAACACCGACGGGGGCGGGGGTGACTACCACACGACGTACTTCCCGCAACCTACATTCGTATCCTCTCGCAAGTACTACTGCCACTTCAGCACGACCGTGTACTCGGTGTTGAATTTCATACCGCGCGATTTTCACGAAGTTGAAATATGGAGCGCGGAGCCCGGGGAAATTTATTTCGACATTGCGGACACGATGCTAGAATTAGTCCAAAAACTTGGTGGATTTCTGGGACGACAACCGGAGCTGCCCGAGTGGATATACAGAGGGGCGACTCTCGGCGTACAAGGGGGTACCGACGCGATGCTGGCATACGTTGACCAAGCCAAGGAGTATGATATTGAACTAAGTGCGATGTGGATTCAAGATTGGGCTGGTCGGATTACAACTTCTTTTGGATCTAGAATATTCTGGAACTGGAAGTGGAACGAAGAACATTATCCCAATCTGAGAGAGGAAATACAAAATCTAAAAAACGAAGGAATTGGCGTGTTAACATATGTAAATCCGTACTTAAACATAGAGGGCGATCTTTTCAAAGAAGGCGACGCTCTTGGGTACTTCGTAAAGAACACTGCCGGTGATACTTATGTCGCTGATTTTGGAGAATTTTTCTGTGGAACTCTCGACTTTACTAATCCCGATGCCTATGAATGGTATAAAAACGAGATTATTATCAAAAATATGATCGAGTTGGGATTGTCAGGATGGATGGCGGATTTCGGGGAGTACCTACCAGTTAAAGATGTTGTTCTCCATAGCGGGGAGAGCGCCGAAGTGATGCACAACGCCTGGCCTGCTCTCTGGGCCAAGATGAACAGAGAAGCTGTAGAAGAAAGTGGCAAGTTAGGGGAAATAGTGTACTGGATGAGGGCGGGCTACACAGGTTCTCAGCAATATAGCACAATAATGTGGGCCGGCGACCAGTTTGTAGATTTCAGTCGTAGTGATGGTCTCCCGTCCACCATCCCAGCAGCTTTGTCGATGTCGATGATTGGCTGTGGAATGACCCATTTCGATATTGGTGGTTATACCGCCCTTTACGGCTATAGTCGATCAGAAGAGCTGCTCCTTCGTTCGGCAGAGATGGCGGTATTCACCCCCATGATGAGAACGCACGAAGGAAACCGCCCAAAAGAAAACTGGCAGTATTATTCAAGCGATAGCACGCTCAGAAACTTTGCCCGCCTTACTCACCTCCATCACACTTTGACTGACTACACCAAGTTTTTAGTATCAGAGAACGTCAACAGTAGCATTCCAATGCAGCGCCCTCTATTCCTTCATTATGAAGATGACGACGAAACCTTTGGAATTGCTTATCAGTATCTCTACGGTCGTGATCTATTGGTGGCGCCAGTCGCACAAGAAGGGCGTGATACCTGGAGGGTGTATCTACCAAAAGACGAGTGGGTATATTTATGGGACAACAAAGATCAATCATCTGATGGCGAATACGTGGAAGTTGACGCCCCCATCGGCTACCCGCCGGTATTCTATCGAAAGTCTTCAGATTGGGTGGACTTATTTAAACAACTTAGTGACGGTAGGTGGCACTCTTATCGAGCGGAATTATAGTTAAACAGCGCCCCTACTCGGTGAGTTGAATTCAGAGCACTACGATTGGCACGCTGTCTGTCTGGTTAATACAGTTAATGATTTAATGTGCAATTATTGTAACATTTATTTGTGTTACACCAGAGAACATTTGCTCTGTTTTACATCTACCATTTTTTTCCTGGTAGACTACCATAAGACACGAGTCCCTAAATGACTTCACAGAAGAATGGCCATCATTTACCCAGTCCAAAGATTATTATCGAGGGGCGATACAAGACAACTTTTTCGATGCGTACTGCAAAACACTTTATAATAGCTGCATGTCATTTTAGCGAATTGAGCTTGAAGCATAAATTAAATAAATTTTAATTTACCTAAAGTGGCAAACGTTTCATTATTAGAATGTAACTTATTCAAATTAGCTAAAAATCATTAGGGAAATTACAATTACGTTTAACAGTACATATTTTAGTGTAATATGATAACATGCATTCAATATGACAGTTCAAATATGTGGTAGTTTATAGTCTAAGAAAACAACTACAATCGGATTTATTTTTTAATTTAAGATTTCTATAAATTTGTGAACTACGTAGTTAACTAAATTTACTAATAAAAATAAAAATAATTAAAATAAAATGAGGGCTGCCACAAATCCTAAAATTTATCACTAACATCTATGGTGTTTGGCGAGTTAATTGCCGTAATTATTTATACAGTTGATATTACACTGGTCTCATCAGACAATGTAGCTATCACAACTTCTCCTAAGTTACGATAAACCAATAACTTGTTGTTATAAACGAACGTTTATATCATTAACTGTATTAACCACAAGACCTGTACACCAATCAGATCACAACACGTCATCATTGCATTCGGGGACTTGGCATTTCATTTTGGATTACCATAGCACAAACTATTCAATTAAAATTATAACAGAATACATGTACTAAAGTACAAAGATTCTACTTGGCAGTCGCAACTGCAATTAAAAATAAAGAAATTTCAGCGTTTATATTTTTAAAACCGTCCGGAACTCTCGACTTGTATGATCGTCACGTTACGGGCGCGTGTTTTCATTGGTGACACATATCATCATTGAAGGTGCAGTTTCATAAACATGTCATTTATCTTTGAGTTTATTTTGGTGACGATAAGGGGTCGGCCATTAGAAATAACGAGGGTGGTAGAAAAACTGTGGAAATTATATTTTCTCGCATAGTTTGGAGAAAATTTGTGTGAGTGTTGTTTTTTTCTAAAATGCTCTCTCCGTGCTAACAATTTCCCCCAAACCATCTTCTTAGAGTTTCTAATGGACGACCCTAAGCCAACTATTTACTTTTAAATCTTTTTTTTTCACAGTTGCAATGGTCAGCAACGCACCAGGGACAACTCGGTGGGCGTGGTCAGCTTACTTTGTCATGGCAACCATAGTGGTATACCTTTTTACGGGGTATTAAGATTTTATTGTTATATGTGTTTCATATCTACGTCAATGTCATCATGTGTACTTTTATTTTTGATTTGTTAATTGCCGTTTTTTAAACGAATTATGTAACAAGCTTAGATATCTAGTTGTATAGCGCCACCTACTGGTAGAAATATTCATCAAGATTCAGCGTCTTTTAATCAGAATACCACGAATCGCGTGCTTGTACATTATACTCCAGGTTCATGGGTCATACGCATACATTATATATGTTTTAAATAAAATAATGATGCCTGAATATAACAACTTATTTCGTTGTACTGTATTTAGTGGTGACTGTGATTACTGCCACCAGAAACAACTATTTGTGTTGGCGCTAGGCATTCACTCAGTGTAGCATGGTCATTGGCTCGCGTCTGTAGGTCATTGTAATCTGAAAGGGACGCTCATAAATCACACATACATCCCAAGAGTGTCGCTACCTCATTTCTGACGCCATATCCCATCACCCATTTCACTCGTTATACTTAATAATTTGTGTTGTGAGATGAAATAACTCACTCTGCTGTTTAAGTTTGAAGCTAATCCCTCTAGATGCGATGCATCATGAAAGTATCACAAATGTGACACATTGGGGCACGGTTACTAATAACCGTGATTGGGGATTTAGCGATACAGTTACTAGTTTGCGTTTGAGTGAATCCGTCGGTGAGGGCGCAGGCTCATGTCAGGCAACGATAAAGCATGGATCTTCATATCATTTGTCCTAAACGCAAATGGCCGACGAGATCTCATTCGAATCACGAGAATCACGATACTTGTTTTGACCCTCAAATGGTGCTTCTTCCTTTCCCATGGAATGGAAAACTGTGTTTTCGGGCGAGTTTTAGAAAATACATGGGACTGGGCGCATTCTTACAAAATCAAAATACTACTTAAGCTTATATTCTAGACAGCCCCAAAAAACTGTGAAATTGTTGCGATGTTCGTGGCCCCCTTTTATATCTATTATCAGAGGAAATTGATTCATATATTTAGACCAAACAATTGTTTCCTGAATTTTATATGATTTTTTTTTTCTGTTGTTGATGTGTCCTATGACCTTGCTGAGGTCTACGGTCCCATTTACTGGTATTCTTACTTTCCTTACCCCAGTTTTCGGACCCATATAATGCATGCATTGAAGTGTGTGTGAAAGAGAATTAGCTCCCATGGTTGTCAATTACAGACGCCTATAGATATAAGCAATGCCTAGTTATTTCCTCAGATAATCTTTTTATTGTTATCCGAGTTATTTCCAAGGAAAAGAGAAAGTCCTCTGAAATCGGTAAAAAAACAACACTGTTCATTTGAAATATCAACGGAAATTCGTATCATAATTCCACAACAACGTTTCAAATTATTTGTTCACCGTTAAACTAATTTACTGGGAGTGTTTAAACAGGAAATAACCTTGCCATCAGACCACCAGTAGTCAGAGTCTTGCGAAAAATACAGATTCACAAGAGTCGTTCTTTTCGTTTTCAATCCTGAACAGCTTTGGATTTGTTTGTTTGTTTGTTTTTTTTTTGTTTTTTTTTTGGCTGTCTAGAAAATAAGCTTCTAAGTAGTATTTTAATTTTGTAAGAATACGCCTTTGTATTTTCTACAACTCTTCCGAAAATAGCCGTGACCTCACAATGACAATAAAAATAGCGAAGAAGTAATTAGCATTTTAGAAATGGTGGAAACAATTTTAGATAAAACATTAAACTCATTTATACTTGATGCCGGATTCTTTATAGCAGTGTTTGTTGCTGTTTTTTTTTACAGCAAGCATGGCAGTGAATCTACCATCAGCAATTTATCGCACCTGTTGATTATGTGACCGAAAAACTAACAAACAAAAATAGTCTACACAAAAAAAGTGTTTTCGAAAATTTCAAATGCCTTCTAGAAATGTATAGGTTTTAATAGGGTTTTGTTATTATTGTCATGATTACAGCTGTCAACATTTTTCTAGCAACAAGACTATCCTGCTACCTGAACAGTTTAACTAGACTGTTGCGCAGACAAACTGAGATGTTTCCAAGCTTTAAGGTATCAAAGGAGTAATTATTGCAAGTCGCGCCCATGTCAAAACTCGCATTTGTAATTTTCATTTAATAGAAGAGCGCATTAAATTGTGGGAAAATCAATGTTTATCAACATAGTTGTCGCACATGCGCAGCGCGACGACCACTTCCCTTTAAGAGTTTGTACTATTTTCTCGACTTCAGCTGTTTTCACCGGCTCGTCGACCAGCGTTCCACAGCAGCTTGCGTAGAAATACATGTACAATGGTGCGCGTCTTAGCAACGTCGAACGTTTCGTGACGTAGCTCCGCCCCGAGAATACGGAAATTTCCACACATAGCTTTAACAGTTGAAATAAAATAGCACTTTGCCCTGTATTCAATCATACAATTACATGTAGTTGATTTCTGTGTAACACTACAATCTGTGCGATGTGTCATTCGTTATACCTTACTCCACTATCACCATGATACGTTGCTACTAGGCTAGACACAATTTCCAGTCTCTGTCCCTGCCTGCCGTGGCATATATAGTCGGTTGTCCTTTCTATTCTATTTCTATTCTATTCTATTATATTCTATTTCTATTCCCCTCAACGTACCCCAGCTGAGAAAACAGACGGAGGCAGATGGGATACCCTCAACGGCACTTCTTAATACCAGGCTGAGTGACAGTAGCGCGGCGGTATCGAGTCCAATTTGCTAGTGTCGATTATAGTGTTGTTTACGGTGCTTGGTAGACTGTCGACAGTCGGTCGTACCTAATATTAATCTGTTATTATTGAATGTCTAGGATACACAACTACATTAGACCCGAGGACTGTCCACAGTCTAGAAGCTTGGCGGCAACATGAATAATGCCAACCACATTGAGATCGGCGTTAGAGCATGGTTAGGGTACTAGTAATTCACGTATTACGGATAAACGAATTACAGATCAACTAATCCAAGTATTGTCTAATCCTGAATTGTATCACTTGTGTTTTATGTAATTAAAAAATGACGTTCCTTGGGTAAGATTATTGAAAAAATATTTTACTGCAATGCCTAGTAGTATTATTAATATTGCGATCGTTGATACGCGAATTAGTTTACCCTGGAGATCGCGTGGTTATGGGAAGAATTTGCGAACACAGATTTAAATAAAAATGAAACAATGCTGCGTTCAATACAAATAGTGAATTATAGTGTCACATGCGGTATTCAAATCATTTCCACCGTCCCTCATCACCGTGTTTAGGGACGGTGATTATACCTCACTTCACTATCGCCTATAGATACTAGTATGCTAGAGGTGTTGATTGATTGATTGATTGACGACATTAACACGAATGTATTCACGTGCTGATTGCGTGATTATGGGGAAATCCCCGCGCACAGCTTTCGAACTGGCAAATGAACACATACTATTGGTATTATAGCCTTGGCATAAACATAAATGAAGTATTACTAGCACTGTATCCAGGCCTTAGTGGCACGAAGTGTGTATCGCACTCACCTCATTACAGAGTCCACCACAACGTTACGTCAGTCAATCTTTTTTTATATTTAATTACTTTATTTTAATATTACAAGGAATAGGTTAATATCAATACTGACGCCATGTTTCGTTAGCAGCGTTGAAACCGAGGCTTTAAAATAACCTCTCTTCCTTCCTCAAAACTCACTCACAAAATCTTAATCATGTGGGTAAATGACACATATTTGATGTCAAAATAAAAATCTATTATATAAAGGGGTACACATTGTTCGAAGAATGTTGTAAAATGTGCATCATTTTCGTGTTTGGCTACCCGTTGAGGGACTGTGGGTAGGATAGGGGTTATGAGAAGCTGGCGGCACACCCATATCATTTCCAGGGGAAGTCCTGGCCATTTAGTGTCAACAACAGTGGTATCCCATGATTCCATTTTACAATCTCATCAATTAGAAGCTTAAAACACTTGAATAATTGCCACGCATGCGTTCTTGTTGTTGTTTTTTATTAAAAACGTCTAAAGTATTTATTCTCAAATGCATTAATGCTGTTTAATGTAGCATGTCGGACCACAGGTATTCTGCCTTTGTAGACTACCTGTTTTGCTAGGGGGTCCGCTGAAAAGCAATACAGCCAACCCCTCTAGCTAAGTCGGCCTCTACGCTGAGTAACTAGGCAACGATAAGGTACGCAGGGACAGGTCAATAAACGATATGTTATCTATTGCCAGGCAGTGTACAATAACAACAGAACAAAATACATGACGCAATCTGAACTTCGTATTTTGAGTAAATGATCTCGTACTTTACCCCGAAATATATACGTGTGTTTTCCCGAATGATTTTTTTTTTCGACATGACACTGGAATATCTAATCCAATGAACTTACGAAGAGCACACAGCTCGATACTGGTTAGACATGTTGGCAGTTAAGTTGATCCTACTTTGAAGACCCGCCGTGGATAGTAACAGTGCAGCAACTAAATTTATTGTTCGTTTTAATTTTGTTATTTTCGCTAATAAATTAAGTTTACGTGAAAATCACAATATAAAATAGAAATCATTGTTTCTCTGACAAATCCGAGAATTTAAAATCCAGTGAATATGCCTAAAACATCAAAATAGTGAAAATATATTGTTTTACAGTAATAATCTTTCATGCATTTAAAGGGGTGCCTGTCGCACCGCCTTCCTGTTCGATATGGGACTCATAAAAATTTGAATACGACCCACATACACGTAAGTGACATAAAGGTAAATAAAAAGCATTGAAATTACAATGTTCACAGTCCTATTGTACGTGATGAGAATCATTTATTTACAAAGGTGAAAAGTCAAATACTAGTATAGCCCGCATCGTACGGTTTGCTGGTACCGACGGAGGGGTGACCCGAAACAAACATTCTTTGGCTGTTAATTTTAGAAACCGTCGGATGATAAACTAGATTTCGAGATGGCACGTAAAACCACGTCAAAAATTTGGATAAAAGATACATCTGAGAATTGCCTACGTTCCGCCAAAGAAGGGTGGTATAAACAAATCATATAAAAGCACACTTCTGATAGAAACTATAACAAATAAAAAAATCAATGCGATGGTGAATAAAAAAAAACTATAATCGAGATAAAACCTATTCAAATCGAGGTAACATGGTGGTGTAAACATCAGGCTGTTGAGTATAGTGAACTACAATCAATATCTACATGTACCATCTGATATCGGAACCACTGTGACATCACAACACGTGTACATATTTTATTTCTGTTTATTTTTTCAGGCGAAAGAAGAGAAGACGACCGACGTGGATAGCCTCGTTCGCGACAAAATTATTTCGACTTTTAAGGACGTTAGTGCACTTGCCAGCTAGAATTATTAGACCTAGGCAAACACGATAATATATGTAAATATTAACAGTAATGCGACTCAATGCAATATTTTATACTAATAAACATCCTCATTTATCAGACACTTTTATGATGTTAACCTTCTATTTTATAAGAAGGTCATTCGCGAGCAATCGACCTATTTAATGACATTGCCAAAATTATTACTTTTTTACCCAATACGTTATATAAAAATCAGTAAAAAAATTACTGCCTTTTGGCATACTAGTATTTGACAACGGATTGTTGGTAGCATGTCTGTTGTTATTTGGACGTTGCTAGAAAACAACTGCAGAAAAAAATAAACCGAGTCGCGAGTGAATTGGGCCTTTAAAGCGGGATGGTCGTCACCTGCGCACGCTCGGGAATTGAGTCCCAAGCGACGATAACAACACACGATAAAAACGCGAAGGCTCATGGGTAGACGCTTGTTTGTAAACAATGACACGCTATGGCCACCTGACGCATGGGTAGGTGACGACTCCCCCGCTTTAAGCTCATAGTGTTCCAAACATACATTGGTACAACATATACCATATTCATATATCTAAGCTTTCAGATGATGTATAGGTAGTTATAGCAAAGACATTAGAAATAGATTAGTAACGTTCATGGAATTTCTACACCACAGATTAATTTTGTACACGTCGGTGTTCAAGTTACCTCCTGTTGCTATGGTCACCGAACAGTACGCTACCCGCATTCTATGATGCTACCACGAGTCAGATACTAATGTAATCTAAACTATGCTCACCAAGGCCCCATTATAAGTGACAGTGATAAACAGTTAATTTCACCAGCTTTTCATGATCATTCACTGAAAAATCAGAATCACTCGCATTAGTATTTTTTTTTTAACTCGGCCCGCGTGTAAAGCTAAACATCCGATAATTTATTTGTCCGATAATCCAACGGAATATGAGTGATGTTTGTTCTTGTTTCGATTGGTCACCTGTTTGTAAATTTATAAGATTTAATTTTTACCTGACATATTGAACACAATGATTTTGCTTAAATGTTGACTTTTATTTCATTGGAAAATTCCACGATGGCCCTCACATTGCTTACCGAAAGAGTGTCGCGATTGATGCACCACCACTGTTAAGTTTTGAACTGGCTTTATATACCCTAGGGGTGTGGTTTTATTCTACCTTTTTTTTCCAAAACGTTACGTTTCCACAAATAAAATATTTGAGAGTGGATAATTTATGTTTTGATACTATATTCATATTGTCCCGTATGTTCAAATCAGAGCCGGGTTTATTGTCAACAAGTTTGAGTGTGAATATATCCCGTATGGCCAAATCAGAGCCGGGTTTATTGCCAACAAGTTTGAGTGTGAATATATCCCGTATGCCGTGGCCAAACCAAAACCGGGTTTATTGTCAACAAGTGTGAGTTAGTCGTTCCAGCAATAAGGGGAATTATATACATTCATAGGTACACAGTAACAGTCGACATTTGTTTTTATTAACCGGGAGCCGCGGGGGTTATAATTCTGTAATCAAATTTGAAATTAGCTTAGAAAATTATTTCACTCATATTTGCAAATTTACTCATTAATTATGAAATTTCAAAATACTCCACTGCAATTTAACAAAGGCATGCCGAATAAAGGTTGTTGATATGGCACCGTGGTTGGAGTATGTTTATGCATAGACAGTGTAGTATAGTACTGCCTATGATTCATGGTGCGACTTAATGCAGTATTTTTTTACTAACATTATCATTTATTATTTATTTTCTTCCATTATAATTTCCAACTCATTCGTTAAACAAATCATTCCCTGTACCTTTGTTCCAATGGAGTTAACGTTGACGCCCCTCAGGCTGGTGACATCACGACGAGCACAAACGTTGGAATGGAATCAAGGTGCTATGTACTGTTTACCAAATATTTAAATGTGGGTAAAAGTTTAGTCATATTAAATCACATTATTTTATCATCACGGTGCAAGGTACAAGGAACGAGTGTTATCCCCGGGTGTACAGGAAGAATCTCAACCTCGGTGGGTGACATATTTTTTTCCGCCCAACATTTTGTATTTTATGTATTTTTCTTCAATGTTTTAAAATAATTTTACATCGAGTGAATATATTTGTATTGGTTACAGGTCGTGATTAAATTACTGAGGAAAAAACTTGAATATGAAAAAATGATGGGAGTTTTAATTCGTGAATCATGATGACAACATTTTACTTCGGCGTTGAAAGAGTTGAAGTTGTATTCCCACTTTTAAAATATGTGATTCATCAAGATAAAAAATTATGTGTTTAAAATTATGATGTTTAACTAAAAGATAAGATATATTAAAAGTAGATATCCCGTCTTCACTTGGTATGAGAGATGATTCTCGCCGGGAAAATACATCTAAGAAAAAATACAAATAATATTGGAAAGTTTATCCAACAGGTGTTGGGAATTATTTTTGGTGTAAACACATATATCGCAGGCAAAAAAATTTAAGTGTCATCTGATTGTAGGGATTCGCCCTAAATTTCATTCTTTATTTGTCAAATAATTTCCTCCACTTAGATTATAGCTTTGGGGACATCATGATATCAATCGTGTCGACATGCTGTGGCGTATAAATATATACAAATCAATGTATTAAGGCTGATATTACATATATCATTCTGGGTCACAAGACTGGTGGAAAGCAGAAAAAAAGATAAAAATAGTTATTATGGTTCTGTAGGTTAAGTTCATTGTCAATAGTGTGTACCAGCCACTGATTATATTGGCGTGTATATTGCTATGGGTAATCTGAATGATAACGATATCATATTGTTTTGTTGGGACTGGGTGTTATGAGCCTGAGAAAGGGGTTGTTTTTCTGCTTGCTTGTAATTTAAACTTCATTTGCATAAACGAAAGCACAAAGATTGATGATGATCGTAAGAGGGCGCTAATACCGCGTCCATCTTGTCGTTTTGTTGAATTTCGTGAGTCTATCGATTCATATATACACAGCGTAGATTGCGTGAATGATCATGGGTTGCGATAGGCATGATTTGATTAAAATCGCAGTTATTCATAGACCCTCAACCTACGAATAAAAAAAACGATTTCTGATTGGCCAGCGTCATTTTAAAGACCGGGATTAGCATTTCACCTCTGATTGGCTGGGTATAAATTGCGAGCTTCATAATGGTTTGGCCTCTTTTTATTCAGACCATCGTCGAGTGAGCTACGGTAAGAATGGAGCTCCGTCATTTTTGCCTCGGCTCTAAACAACTTGACGGATTTTCGACATTTTATTGTTATATATCGGTGGAGGATGACCAATGTAGGTAATGTTGCCCAAAATGTTCGCGTTTGCACCAGAATTGTAGTTGTCTGCAGTGAATTTCTGACTAGATCCCCGTCGACTGCATAGTGTTGTATAGTAAAGCTTAAAACATGCAGCGAACCAACCGATGTAAACAATGACAAAATTGAATGCAATTCCGTCAAAAAATACAAAATATCCACTTTCTTTTACTAGTTGCAATACAGATCACTATTTTACGTTTGGCTTTTAGTGAGCATATGCAGATTTTTGCAGATATTTCGTAGAAAATCGTCACGGCTTGGGACCGACGTTTTCTTCCATTCGTTCAATACACGCTTTCATTGCGTGGACACTACCGAGGGTACTGCCTTCTTATTGTAAAAAAAAACATGGGGTGACAACCTGCAGGTTACGAGGTCGTGTTTACATATTGCTTTCACTCATGAGAAGGTACTAGTATACCAGAATATTCTAGCAGTATAAATTTATGTTTGTCCTAATTTTATACCAGATCCCTCGACAATTTACTCGTAATTGTCGCACTGTTTATTTACTTCAAATGTTTCGGGATGAGTGGATCAGGGCATTTGAAGTTTCGATGCTTGCTACAAAACTAATTTTGTGTTTAATAATCTTTCTTCATTGTAGGCATTTCAACATCATAAATGCACTCAATGTGATTAAATTAAAATTTGTTTTGGCTTTTGAGTAAAATTTTCCTGCAAGTTGTGACAACATATTTGTTATTCATAAACCCCCCCCCCCTTTTCTTTCTTTACATTTCATACAGGAATTTTTTTTTTCTTCTCTTCACCTCTACATTTTGCAAATCAGCTCGCATACAGTTTTCAAATTTTCCTTAACCAGAAATAATTTGTATCAGATTAGTTTGTGTTTCTAAAATTAGTGGGGGGGGGGGGGTTGTTTAGAGCAGCTGTGCAGAATTGTTTAGGCAAATGTTGCTATCTGTATGATTTTTCTTTCTTGCTGGCTTTATTTTCACCATTAAACCTTTCATTGCCAAATTTTGGTCACATTTATCAAAATTAATCCCCCAGAATTTTTTTCTCATCTTTTAGAAAAAAATTATCAGGTTCTATAGAAAAATACATAAAATTGTGAAGGATGTTGCATGACATTTTGGTTAATCTTGTCCAATAAAAACATATCACCCTAAATAAAAATTATATTATTCAAACTTTCAGATAACAATTCCATATTTTAAAATTGTACCAAAATGCAACCCAAGAAATCTTTGTGTGATATAAAGTCTGTGTAGGACTCATAAATTTAGTTTGTACAGTACTTTGATTCACCCTGATTGATAATTCATACACTTGTACGCTATAATGTTTTTAATAATATTGATTTTAATAATCTACATTTATCTACACAAATTTATAATGTTTTGGTCTGATTTATGGCGTTTACTTGTCTCTATAACAATAGGCACTTTTAAGTTGTATGGTTATAGCCAGAAATGAAAAATTTCTTATTTTAAAAACTTTTTTTAAATCTTTTTTTGGCGATTATTTATTTTGCAAATTAGTGAATAGACTTGTTGAAATTTAACCTATCTAAATTGACAGGTAGATCAGTGCCAAGTTGCACGTAATCATCATGTGATATTTTTGTGTTTGATTTTAGGCAAGTGTTTCATCAGGCATATTTACATCATGGGGGGGGGGGGGGGGGGTCAATGTCCACTTTAAATCACCCCACACTGAAAAAAGTTTATTTCAGCTGTTTTAGTGGTCAATAACTATAAGCATCCTGGCCTTTATGAAATGTTTTTCATAACACAATTACACAAATACTTTTATATTTTCACAGGATTATTATTATATGAACATATTTTTTTTTTTATAAACATGTTTTATTTGTATTCATGTTTTGTTTCTTTCCCTAACTACTGATGCTATTTATTACAATGAAAATGTTTGATATAATTTTTAATGTTGAGAAAATCAAGCTCTATCAGATTTATTCATTTTATGATAACTACAATCTATATTTTTGATTTTATCTATACATTTTAATTTTTTGAATTGTTGAAAATAAATAGAATTATAATTAATAGTGACCACTTGAGGGCGCTATGCAGTTAAAATTAAACAATTAGAAATGCATGTTGTGAAAAAGAAAAAAAACCAAGATTTTTTTCCAAGAAACTTTGGATCAGGAACAGATCTATTTTCTGTTTGGTCTAATACAATTATTCTCAAACAACTTTTTTTGAATTACACTACATGTATGAACTACATGATATTGGAATAATCAGTCAGGACTCTCAATAAACAAAATTTCTTGAAAGTCTGGTGGGCTACCAGTGTATGTAGTCTTGTAATATCAATTAGTTCATCAGACTTAGCTTAGTAGTATCTTAAATGCCACATTGCTTACTTTGTGCAGGATAATGGTTACAAACTGCAATTTTTTAGGACAAGAATTGGTAGTTTGTGTGCCTTGGGCTACTGTTAATTTGAAGTCCTGCACAAGAGTGAGTGGGCTTTCTGTGAAAACTAATCCAGTTTTGAGGGAATCTTCTGACACATATACAGAGAGTACCTGTTTGAAAAATTTTTGTGACTTTGATTTTAAATATTTAAAAACATTCTCAACTTTTAGAAATTTAAACCAGTTCCTCAATATTCTGTTAGGAAACACCATCATAGTCATGACTCGTCCGTGATCTGCAAAAAAAATGTTTAATTTATTCCATCATTATTTTTTCCAAAATGTGTTCCAAAATGATTGTATGCCTTTAGTTTTGATACAAATGTATGTTGATATGTTGGATTTGTATTCAACTTTATTCAATTTTCAACAAGGATCTGCACAGCACAGTGAGGTGAAAATTACATTTTGATTTAGTCTGTTTAGTCAGTCACACTAAATTTGTGATCGTTTTTCAAGTTCTATCCAATCAATTGTGTTTTTTCTTTTGCATTTTGGAGGTTTTCAAGTAGCCTTAAATGAAACTATTACTGCATTATAGCTTTTTTTGTCATATTTTTCTCATTGAAACTGAAATTCCTGCATGTCGTTCAACTCATTGAAGCCCTAAATCTATACATTCGCAGGTACTGATACTGGATAATGTGCACTTTCTATAAAAGTGTTATAGTAATCAAAATCAACCCAATCCTTTTTATATTTATATAAGTGAACGCTTTAAGAAACCAAAATAAAATGGTGTCAGTGTATGTGTATTTCTGGTCTACAAGCAGTGTGGGTAAAATGATGTTATAATTTAGGGACAATCACTCTCATGAAATAATGAAATCTAATTTTAAGGCCTAAAAATTGTCTCTGGTCCTTGTCTACATCAGTTGTTTTCAAAATGTAAAACTTCATATAATGAATATTTTGCCTTAATTTATTTTCAGATTCAAGAAAACAAACACCTGAATAAGTCCTTATTTATACAGCGTGCATGTAGTAGAGATGAGTGTGCATTCATTCAATGGGAAAAGTACCCCAGGTAGATGCAGTTCTCATGGAAGTATAAGTGGTATGGTTAGTGGAGAACTCACTCCTGATATTCCTCGTCCAGTTTCAAAAGGATACACAAGACTGATTGATCGTATACAGAAACGAATCAATTCAAAGGAGAAATTTTTTTCGTTGGAGTTTTTTCCACCTAGGACAGCCAATGGTGCAGTTAACCTGGTTTCAAGGTATCTCAATAGCTGTACATACTCTATCTTTTTGAAATATTTGAAGTTTTTGTTGTCATGGCATTGTGTGTTTAATACGAGTCTTGAACAGTCAAACCCGTGTTAGAAACCCTCTCTGTATGAAGACCACTTTCCTATAGTGACCACTTTTAGGCAGTTCTAAGGCATAATGTATGTGCAATGTATGGAGCATGGGTCTAGTGTGACAACTCTTTCAAATTCAGCATTATTTTTTGCAGATTAGTCTTTCTTTAGAGACAAAAATGCGTAATATAAATTAATATTCTGTTTACAAAACAATTTTACTTTGATTCAATCATCGTTTTTTGTGTGCAACAGTACTATCTTGTTATATTTTGGGCAAATATTAGTTTCAAATGTACGAGTTAGCAGTCAATAAAAAAAAGAGTACCCGGTAATCCGTCCTGGATATAAAGAACACCTGTGTATGAGTCCCTTGAATGCTCCTCTATCTAGGTGAATTGCTCAAAATTTGATTATAGGCAATAATCACTGCCTTTTAAAGATGACTTTTATAGGCCTTGATTCTGTGGCTTAGTTTATGATAGTCAGCTCAATTTCCAAATATTTGAAATGAGTGAATATTAAAAGCCATTTTGTGGTCTTCAAGTATGTTAACGTTTGAAACCTGCAGTCTCTGTTTACAAATGGCATGGTATTCTTGTATTTGCTTGTCAATATTGCTATTTATGTATGATTGGCATTATAGCATGAAGTGTATTTTCAAGATGTTGATCAGCTTTGTAAATGTCCTTGTAGATACATGTATAATATCAATCAAACTGGGTTATTTTTGTAATATGAATTCAATACTATTTGTGACTGGGATTAAATCCTTTGTATCCAGGGTTTCGCATTGACAAGTGTACCAGATGGTTGGAATTATAACTCTATTGAACACCAACTGTTATTTTTCACAATATAAGCCCACATATTTTTTTTTAGATTTTTTTTAGTTCAATACTAGTATATCCATTTTGCCCAAAATTTGTTGAGAAATGGGAGACCAATACAAAACAATGTGCAAAATGTTTTACCAGAATCTTTGTGGGAGGAATGGTGGCATTCAAGACATTAAAAACTATGAAATAGAAAAGCAAAATGTTTTCCTTCAGATTTTATATCAGGATGCTGCTGTGTAATTATTTGTTTCTGCAAATTTCAGCACAATTAGTAGTTCTTTTCAAATTATCTTTATACAGATTTTTCTCCTCAAAATTTGAAGCCCCTGGTCCTCCCCTGAGTTTCTGATAGCCAAACCCCTAGTGTTAGCACATGTGTTGTGTTTTCATATCTTCCAGGTTTGATCGTATGGCCCTGGGTCAGCCCCTGTTTTGTGATATAACATGGCACCCGGCTGGCAATCCTGCTGGCAATTCTCCAACCAGTTCTATGATGATTGCAAGTGCTGCTCTCAACTATTGCGGTTTAGACACTATGCTGCATATTACATGTGCTAACTTAAATAAAGAACAAATTACAAAATATTTGATCAAAGCAAAGAATCAAGGTATCAGAAGTATTCTTGCTCTGCGTGGAGGTAAGTAGAGGATTCTATCTAGATCCAACCTAAAACAAAATATTGTGTAAACCCAACCCAACACAGCGTAAACTGGAAACCTGTTTAACCCTTAACCTGACACTATAAACTAGAAGACTGTTTAAACCAACCTTGTGTAACCTGGGAATGTAAACTGACTGTTGTGTAAAATAATACCCAGTTTCAATTGTAACCCACTTAACAGCAATTCTCCCTTCTGTACACACTTAATATTTTGAGTATTCAATTTTAAATTTTATATACCTTTGTGAATCAGACAATTCAAATTTCTCAATATTTTGGTTTTTTGATCAGCTTCAACCACCTAATATAGTAGCCAGAATGTTTCTTTGAATGTAATAATCCAGTTTAAAATATGAACATAAAATAGAATATGCTAGGTAATGGTCAATTTTAGAACACAGAAACTGTACTAATTTTCCTTGGCTTTGTCTGAGAGAGAAAATAACATTGTGATTATTTTGTTTTGCACAGTGATTTTTGTTGTTGTTGTTGTTGTTGTATGTAATAAATATTTTTTAAATGTTTTTCAGACCCTATAAATGGTGATGAGTGGCAGAAATTGGAGAATGGTTTCAACTATGCTACTGATCTAGTCAAACATGTCCGAGATGAGTTTGGTGATTATTTTGTCATTGCTGTGGCAGGTAAATAGATATTTCTTCTGTTACAATCAACATGGTTTATTACCGGTAAATTAGTTCTTGTCTTCTGAAAATGCACAACTAATCTGGCAAACCCATATTATGTTTACTTTGTTGAAGATTTAATCATGGAATTGTTTTTAACAGTATATAACGCATACAAGTGAAAAGTAATATAGACATTAAAAAGAAAGCTGATGTGATTGCTGCAGTAAAAACCTAAAGAAAGAGAGCAGTGTTCTTGGATTTGTTGTTACACAAGGATAAGTGGCGCACAAGCAAGACAAATTCACTACGTTCAATTACCAAACACCAAAATGACTATTTTGAACTGTCGGCATTAATCTGCAATTCAGACAATGACGGAGAGAGAAATCTAGGTCAGGGGAAGCCCCATGACCTCAAGATTTTCCCTTTACATCACGAGTCACGAACTACGTGACCGAGGTAATGAGGCGGCGCCATATTAACTTCCAAGCCAGTCTTGTTTCTCTCCGCACCGAGTTAGGTGCGATTAAAAACGGTGCGATCAGTCATCAGATTTTTTCCTGTTCGAGTTTTTGGTCTGACTAGCTTGATATTTTACCAAGCAAAAGGTTCCAGTAAATAAATAACAACAAAAACAAATAAACATCACCTGGACTTGCATGGAAACAGGGACTATGGCGTTTTCTCTGTCATGTTAAACCTCACAAAATTTGGCAGACATTTTGGATTGGAAAATGCAAACTAATTAGATTCATTATTCAGGTGCCCAAAAATATGTCTTTGGAACCAATTGCAAGGATTAATTAGGAAAGTTTCACAAAATTCATATTCTAGAAATGTGTTGGCTGTGAATCATCCTTGTGTTAGAGTGCAATGCAACCCAACACTTTGCTCATCAGTGTTGCGTATTTCCCAGTAATATAATTCAAGCGAGGATTATTCTGTTACTACAATGGCGACTTGCAGGATAAGTTGATTTACACGATGTGTAGTTACACTATGTGTAGTTACACGATGTGTAGTTCCTGGCTTGTGTTGTGTACATGTACATCTGTCAAATGGCTATATTTACAAGGCTTGCAAGCTGGTAGCTGGATAATAATGTTGGGTACCGGGGATAATCCATCAGTGTTGTGGTACTTAAATTATTCCCACTAAATATTTTAATTTTTAACATTTAAACGTGTTTTCCCTATTTTTTTGTTAATTTTTTTATCTCATGGACATTATTTCCTATCAGCTTACAGGTCTTGATCAAGATTTTTGAAAATATGAAAAAAAATAGGTAGATTTATTTTACGAGAGGTGACACAATGTGGCACAATTGTGAATACATGGAAATAACCAATACATGTAGAACAATTAACAGTCTCTGTTCTTTTAGAGTATCATTTGATAGACATTTTTAGTCCCCGTTCGGACGTAGTCCGAAAACGGGGACTTATGTTTTGCCCTGTGTGCGTCCGTGCGTCCGTGCGTCCATGATCACCTGTATCTCGAACATGCATGGACCGATTAAGTTCAAACTTCACTCATACATCACACATTATATGGGACATATGCACATACATTTTTTTCATGATCCGATTAACGATAGCCGAATAGCGGCCATTTTAAGGCCGAAAATGCATCAAAATCGCACATTTTCACCATTCCGGACCCGGATCTCAGTTATGCATGGATGGTTTTTGTTCAAATTTGGTACATACATTAAAAATAATAGGACCTTGATGCACGTCATTTTTTTTTTGGATCGGGCTTGAAATTGCTGACTGGCGGCCATTTTGTTTTAAAGAATTCAGTTCTGGATCCGTATCTGAGACATGCCTGGATTGATCGAGTTCAAACTTCACACACATAAGGTACATCATGTCACAAATATGTATGTGCATTTGTTTCATGATCTCATTAACGATAGCCAAATGGCGGCCGCTTTAAGGCCAAAAATGCATTGAAATCGCACATTTTCACCATTCCGGACCCAGATCTCAGTTTTTAATATGCATGAACGGATTTTGTTCAAATTTGGTACATACATTAAACATACTAGGACCTTTATGCACGTCATTTTTTTTGGATTATGTTCGAAATGGCCGACTGGCGGCCATTTTGTTTTAAAGAATTCAGTTCTGGATCCGTATCTGAGACATGCCTGGATTGATCGAGTTCAAACTTCACACACACATGGTACATCATGTCACAAATAGATATGTGCATTTGTTTCATGATCCGCTTAACAATAGCTGAATGAAAATGCATCAAAATCACGTATTTTCACAATTCCGGAACCGGATCCCAGTCATGCATGGATGGATTTTGTTCAGATTTAGTGCATATAGTAAGTATAATATAAGCTTGATGCATACCAATTTTTCTTCGGATCATGTTCAAAATGGCCAACTGGCAGCCATTTTGTTTTAAAGAATTTAGTTTTCGATCCATATCTCGGACATGCCTGGACAGATCAAGTTCAAACTTCACATACACATCATACATTATATCATACATATGCCTGTGCATTTGGGCCAGTCCTTTTAAGGTAAAAAATTCACAAAAATTGCACATTTTCACCATACCGGAACTGAATCTATGTCATGCGTGGGCAAATTTAGTTTAAATTTTTTTTTGGATTGTGTTGAAAATGGCTGACTGGTGGCTATTTTGTTTTACTGAATGCAGTTCAACATCCATATTGTTGCTGCTTTGAATGTATATGTCACTCAAATATGAACGGAACGGGGACGTGTCATTGACAATGACTTGTTTATTTTTAAATTTTGTGTAATCTAATTTCTGGGCTACTATTTTGGAAAATGTTAGCCTCAGCACAAGTACTGTTAGAGTACCTTGAGTTACTATTAATTTCAAGTACTATCAGTACAGTTGTATAACAGAAATACATTTGGAGTCGGGCTTTTAGCAGCCAGCCACTTTTCTGCCTGTGATTTTATATAGGCACTCTACAATTTACACAGACCCAAAATTTGATTTGACAGGATAAATTTCTACAAACCTGCCAATTTTTGATTGAAAATTTACAGTTAATTGATCCACAAAAAATAGACTACCAGTCTGTGGCTTCAACCCAGCAACAAATATCTTGCATTTCAATATAGATTTCAAATATCAGTAGGCATTTTCTGGCTATATCGATAACCCTCTTTGGAGGACTATTGTAAACCATTTAAATTTCGCAACCGACAAATTTTGTGAGTCTGTGAAAATTTCTCTGGGGGTCCTAGGACGTGAATTTTGTCTTCATAAATATCATAGAATCATTAAAATGCAGAAATTTCTATCAGTGAAAATTAAACTTAACGTATTTTATGTTCTAGTAGACTAAACAATTTACAAATTCACTTTGACAAACAATACCACATAGCAAAAATTACAAAAGGTATTTCGAACTACATTCTCTTAATTTTTTTAAAGGATACCCACAAGGACATCCTGATGCTGAAAGTTACGAGGATGATATCAGACATTTGAAGGAAAAGGTGGATGCAGGTGCAGACTTCATAATCACTCAGCTATTCTTTGATTCACAAACATTTCTCAAGTTTGTTAAAGACTGTCGAGATATTGGTATTGTAGTGCCTATTATTCCTGGAATATTTCCCATTCAGGTAAATCGTACAAGTTATGCTCTTTCGCATGATGGAAAACTTCTCTGATGTCAAAATGATGTATATGAATGAAAGCAGTCATTTATATAGACTGTTGTTTGGTTATGTAGTTGTTCATCATCAAGAAAACAGTAAACAGTAAAATTTCTCGGTAACGCAACTCATTATTGATAG